GTTCCTTAAAAAAATTGCATGGTTATCCCTAGATACATATTGACTACATGCGTTGTGTGTAAAAAGGTACTGCAGAAGTAATACTTCATATTGGTGGGATAACACAATGCTAGAGCCTCAGTTCTGTTAGGTGAGATGGTATGGCAGGATGCCATTGCATTAAAAATAGATTGCCTTACAGACAAACCGTACATACGTGAACTATTAAATGCTGTCATTTATACACAATGACCAATGAGATGTTTGTACCACAACAGCATGCTGTAATTGTGTACAGTAAAATGCAGTCACTTTTGGCAGAGAAATTTCCAAATGTTTAATAAGACGTGTAGGAATTAGGTTACAAAACTGGGAATGTGGGCCATATAATATTGAATGCTGCTTATCATCACCCTGGAGTGGAGAAAAAAAAAAAAAACACGATGCTGTTACATGGTACTGGCCATCCAAACTGGGTTAAATTCGTTACATAAATGCACATATATACATATAATATTAACTGAATTTACACTATGTTTTGCAAAATTTTATAGAACTTCGTCCTTTCCGGTGGTCAACTAAATGTAACTCTTCTTTGTCCAGTGTTACGTATTGGATACAGCCCTGGAAACCTTTATAGTATGCTCTTGGAAGGCCATCTGGGGGCATGCGTTTGCCGCCTGGAAAAAAGTTCAATATCAATTACACTTCTTCATACTTGTCTTTAACATTTCATATTGGTAATTAAATACAAGGCCTGCAACCAGCATTTCCCTGGGGGGAGGTTTTTTTTTTTTTATCTGGAAAAGTGGATCTTATTTCCTTTGAATTGTCACAACTTGAGAAATGGCTGGCATACAACCTTGATCGAATTTGAATTCAGAGCAGTCTTATTTTGGAAAAAAAGGCAGTACTTTCAAACCCTCCAAACCTGATCACTGAATTACATGGCATACTGACCTATCCACAGCTGACCATCAGTGTCCAGTTGAGTTGCCCCTTGCCTAGACACCTTGGTTATTGGCCGATTTCCATCAACAGTTAACACTCCTTTCCTCTTATCCCTAGTATAACAAAAATAAGTTTCATCAAAGCTAGGTAATTTAAAGAATGTTTAAAATGAAAGAAGACAGATTAACAGATTTAGAAGACAGATTAAAATGACACATTAACACCCCCTCCTTTGTAGGCACCCTGCTGTGATGTAATAATCTCCAGTCATGTGACTACGTATACTCCTCTACCACAATATAACATTTACCTGTAGAAAAGAGCAGACAGTTGCTCCTAAAAAGTCCAGATAAAAGAAATTCCTATGCAGAATGATCTGCTTTTTATTTCCAGGTATAAACATATTGCTGAACATGTTATAAATTGAATAAAACCTGGAAGCAGTTAGTAGAAATCACAACCTCTAAGCTCAAATGCTCTAGTTTAGATTATGTTACAAAATGAGGAGTCTACTGGAGTGAATAAATAAATAAACAAAATCTTAATGTCTGATACAAATCAATTGTTCTATGTAAATGAAATTAATGAAAGCTTTGTGCCAGTAATTGTTGCTGAATCAGCAAATTGCAAGCCTTGAAAAAATTACTGATTTAAAATAGTACATCGATGGAACTTTAAAGATACTATACTCAGGCACCAATACTCAGACACCTTCATTCTTGGAACAAAATAATAATAATAATAAAAAATAGAAAATAAAAATAAAAAATGGCACTAATATCTGAAAATTTGTAGAATACTCAAAAACTTCATACAATTGAGAATAATTTGCAGTTAAGAAAACAGTAAGTTACCTCTCAGCTATTATCGTATGCCAGTCGCCATCATCTACTCGCACTGCAGATCTTATTTTATGGATGTCAGTGGGTGATTGTTTTCCTAGATTGTAGCTAAACTCTACGTGACCATTCACTATAGCTAGGGCCAGGTAATCTCCTCTAATGGTAGGACTTTTGTGAACTATTAAAACAAGGCCGTTCTTTTCCGTCGTTCTAAGTCGGATTAGGTATCTATTTTGCCTTTGACTGCGCTGTCTGAAAAAAATTGAAAAGCAAATCAAAAGTGATTTTTTTTCACTTTTTAAATGAAAAATTTTTAGTATGGTTCAAATATGAAGATGTGGTTATTACACATCAATTTCAGTGATGCCACTTAGCAATTTTTTTTAAAATATTCATCCTTTTAAGCGGATCACTAGAACAATTCTAGATGGTAACCAAACTCTCTTTCCTTAACCTGAAAAAATTATTTTTCAGGAATCTACAACAACAAGTTGTTTAGCAAAATACTTATTTACATATCATTTGTCAATAAATGTAGTAAGAAACTGCAATACCAACATCTAAGTTTAAAAATCCAAATAATTATAACATATTAGTAAAAGGTTTCAAACAAAATTTTAAAATAATTCCAATGACAATAAAATGCACATTCGGAAAGCTGTACATGTACCCTTATTATGATTAGTCCCTTTTTTTAAGTTCCACATAATGCTTTTTCTTAATACAAAACAAAGCTAGTAATAGTAATAATAATAATGTTATTATTATTACTTTTTCTTGCACAAAAATAACTATATTCTATTAGTGTGTTTGTGAAAAAATCTGTGAACTGCAATAAAAAACTGTGACCAATCCTGTGATGAAATATTTAGGCCCTAAACTAGAATGTCTCTGCTAAAACTGCTTTAAAACAAAAGGAATGAAGTAGACAGTTTTATTGAATCTACAGCAAAACCAAACTAATACCTCTAACCAGTATATTTCATTGCGTAAAAGTCATCTTCTTCCTAGAGTTGGTTTTAAAACAGTTTTAAGTGACCCGTTGGTGGATGGGGCCTTAATCAATCAGTGAAATGGAGTGAAATAAGTATTTATAGTACAGACAAAAAAACTCTTTCACCACCCTCCAACAGTTAATTTTAAATGTATCTAAGAGTAGTCTACATAAGTGTGTTTTTTAACAGTTTTCAAACTTTGCATTTCTTTATTAATGATCTTTATCACAGTGGCTGAAACATATAAACATACCAGGAATCAAAATGCACATTTTAAAAAACTTTTGAATTCTCAATTATACGAGAGACATTAACACTACCAACCAAATGTGCACAGTTCCTCTCAAAATGATAAATTCAGTGTCTGGACATAAACCTGTGACATTTAGGGACCGTTCACATAGAAAGTCTATTTTCTAAAAATCTATTTTCTATTCGCGGTAACTTGTGATCATGGAAGTAACTGGCTCGCGCTGCCTGTAATTATGCCGCAGGATATTCAGGGCACAGACCGTGATCACAAGATACCGCGAATAGAAAATAGATTTTTAGAAAAATAGACTTTCCATGTGAACGGTCCCTAAATAGTATTTAAAGAACAAAGTGAGAAAAAACAAAATGAAAAATGTGTAAATCCATGGAGTACCTATAAAACGCAACTTCATAATTGCAAGTGATATCCAGCACTATACATGTACTACTACTATTGAGTGAAGGCACTATAGAAGTGTTCAAGAAATTGGCACAATACAGATGAAAATAATAATACTGATAAAATCACATTCCACCTTCTGAAACTTTTAAGGTGGATGAAAAAGTGCCATATTGCTAAAATAAGAGAACAAAGTGTTTTCTTTGACATCATGTTCTCTTGTTCTAAAAAGTGAATATTACTAGAGAGAAGGCAGATTTGACTAAATCTGGGTTTAAAGCAGAACAAAATTTTCTTCACAAGTCAATTCTTTACACAATTTCACAGTATTAAAATAATATTAAAAACATATCAAGGCCAACGTAGAGAAAGTTTTCAAACATCTCTATTTTTCTATTTTACTCTTTTTACAATTTATCATCTTCAAACATTTACAACAACAACTGTCTATTCAAAACTTCAGCATTCTTAGGTAGAAAATACTAACAAAACATGTTTGAAGGGGGGGGGGGGGCAATCACCACACTTAAAGTCAGCTTTAAAATATCTGCCTTCTCTCACACACACACAAAAAAAGAATAGAATGCCAAATACTAAAACAAAAGAAATAACAGGCATCTTCAGGAAATAATACTCAGTTATCAGAGACCCGTTTACCTGCGAGCCAACTCCACTAACAGCTTTCCTAATGTTTTAACATCCATTCCTTCCATTACTGCCCAGCTGGATAAACATACGTGGTAATAAGGTGACATGCATTTCACATGCAAGTGTTACATTAAGCTTTCAGAAATATCCCCCTTTGATGGAAATCCACACGCTTATTTTTGTGTCAAAATTTTTAAAGGGGTAAGAACTCTTCTTATTGGCCATAAAAATGCCTTAAAAAGATTTTCCTGTGGTAAACGACAATGTTTCCATTACTTAATAATAGGTAATGAATTAGTTCCAACATTCAAAAATAATCAATTGTGCTTTTTGTAATAATCTATTTTAAAAGAGATTTTTATAGAGGGTATCAAACTATAAAGGCTCATGTGATCCAATGTCACATACAGATTTCAGAATAATTAATGTATTGCAATAAATGCTGCTTCATTGGTAAAATGGACTTCTCTGTCAATATGCATATTATTTTCACCCAATTATTTAACACGTTTTGTTAATTTATTGTTAAATAACTCAAACCAAACCTTATCTAAATTAGTGAAAAATCAAACATGTGAAAATGTCTCAAAATAAAAATAGTGCTAAAAAAGAAAAGAAATCTTGGGAAAAAAATTCTACACATACATCGCTGTCTTGTCTAGGGTCTTGTTCTTGAGTGGGCTGCAGAATCAAACATTTGAGGCTCGTTAGAAGTATAATGCACACTCTAAATCACAACCAAACACAATGAAGAGAAGTCTCAACTAATGCATTCATAGCACATAGACAATATCATTCTACAGCAAATATATTCTCTATACAGCAGCAGTTTGCTAAACAGCTTCAATACACACACCTACGTGCTGTATATTACACTACACACAAAAAGATACATATTTTTCTAATTAAATCTGAGATCAATCAGTTATTAACAAAATTACCAAATATACAGCAGATCATGTTTTGAAGAGAAAAAAGAGTGATCTTAAAAGTAAACTTGCTCATTATTCTAATGAACATAAAAAAACAGAGATTTGTGCATAGAACTGAAAAAGGTGGTTTTCATTTCATTGCCTCTAAATACATGCCAATCAATAAAATCTATGTGCAACTTAAAACCTCACAGCCTTTATTTGTCACCCATGGTGTAACAGATTAAAAGAGTGACATAATAATAATAATAATAATAATAATAATAATAATAATAATAATAATAATAATAATAATAATAATGAAAACTGTCATAACCTTTGTATTGAGTGCATTTCAAGGTCCACACCTTTTACTTGAGAGAGAGAGAGAGAGATTCCCCATATACAAAACATGTGGAGTGTAGCATTAAAATTTCTTTTATAATAATCATGGTGGGTGCAGTGTGCTCACTGGTAAGAAAATGAACCAAAAACTCAGATAATCCTCAAACCAGCATGCATCTATGATAAAGGTTTCTTCTTCCCATTAATAATTATGTAAAAAGTAATGCATACTCACTTCCTCACAGCTTGGTTATCATACTGTAGAAAAGTTGACCCGTCAAAATGAACGGGACTGTTTTTGTCGATGTCAGTTTCTGAAAATGAAAATGAAATGAACTGAAATTATGGGTGTTATAAAAAAAAATCAATCAGGGAATATACAGACCATGTGAATATCAATACTGGAATCCATCAAAAACAAATAAAAATATTATATTAAATCACATACTAAATATCATTTTAGGAATTAAAAGAATTAATATGAAAATTCAACTTAAACTCATAATTAGTAAAACCATCAAAACAAAACAAGGCATTATCACTATATATTATTATAATATACCTCTCTGACAATGTTCCCCAGCATATCCTATTCTACATTTACACTCATATTCCGCTAATTTTGGCTTACAATAGCCGCCATTTTGACAAGGGTTGCTGGTACAGGGTGGCCCCTGATATATACCCATATGTTCATTGGCTACTGCCCCAGCCAGTAAATTATCATACATGCGCCCATTTATGTACAGCTGAAAGTATATACAATTGACCCCATTTACATTTCACAAGAAAGTTGAATATGTCATAGCAACTTTAAAAGTAGCAAACTGACTTTCTTCAGTGCTTATGACAATTAATTGTAACATCATATTTTATCTAAAAAAGGATTTGATTCTGAACATAGTTTACTTTGAATATCAATTCTTATACATAACTCGGTATAAACTGAGGGTTCCATCAGCAGCAATATTAAATCCCTGCTTCAAAATATTTTTGAAATAAAAAATAAATTTACTTACTCTCTGTATAGCACCATGGAAACCAGACTTAATACCAGAGTCTGGGTTGATGGAGCTTTTGTCTTTAAAACCACCTATATAAAGCGGCTGTCCAAGATTAAGATCTTTCAAAGTTCCCTAGTGAATTATGAAAAAAAGCTCTCCAGTGAATTATGAAAAAAAAAAAGTAATTTGTGTGTAAAAACTGAGTTGTACTTTGCTTTCTAAGAATGACAGTGATCAATGTGTTTTCTCTGAAGTAAATGCATCACACACACACACACAAACACACAGAGACATTGTACAATCTCTCTCTCTCTCTCTGTTCACCAGTGTTTTTACAAAATATCTTCAGAGAAACCTACACAGAAATCAACCTGTTAAGCAAAAACTTGTAAGCACAGTGCATTCATGCATTTGCCCACGATCACACTTAGTTCCCAATTTTACTTAATGGCAAAATTTAAATCCATCCTTACCTTGGATTGCCCTGACTCACTGACAGAAGTGCCATTTATAATCATGTTGCCTTGACGATTTCTCCTCTCTACCGTCACTCTGTGCCACACATTCAGAGCAATGCGTTTGGGTGATCTGAAATTATTATAGTTCCATATGGATCAGGTATGAATTTGGTGGTATGAATTTCACCCAATAGGTGGCATCCCAGAGCATGCTAAAAGGTGCATATTTTGAGTTCTGTCTACAAATTTTCTACATATAATTGTACTGGCTTATCCATAAGTAAAGATGCTACATAATGAACTGAAAACAATTATGCTTTTTAGAACATTTATCTTAATTACATATATTCTTTACAAAAAACTGTTAATCAAATTGCCAATTTTTTTAATATAATATTGTCTGAGAAAATAAAAAAGTGATAATTTTTAACACAACCCAAAAATTCTTAAAATCTCATTATATTTAAGAGAAAAAAATTTAGACTTACTTTATATAGGCCGGGCCTCCACCAAGATCAAACTTAAATTCCAGGAAGCCATTTTTAAGGTTTAAAGAAATGAAGTCCCCTTTCCCATTAGCTCTCTGGCCACAGTATAAGATCATGCCTAACAAGATGATAAGGACACATTTCTACCATATTACTTATAAGTAATTTTTTCAAAGTTTTTTTTTTTTTATCAAATGTTTGGAATTTTGACTTGAATCTGTTAAATTCATTTATCCAATCTAGACATTTTGACAGTTTATCAAGATATAAAATACTGCAGTTGTATTTCAATATATTTATCAGATAAGGAAAGAAAAAGTTAATAAAAAAAACATTTATGATTTGTATGTTTTAATTCTAAATATGAGAAAAGGAAAGATGATGGACAAAGTAGTCAGAGCAGAGGGAGGGTAAAAGAAGAGCCATCATACCATTTCCTTTGGTGGGTAAAAACCAGACTTCAAAGGCTATTGCCCTAAGGACATTGTCATTGAATTCCCTTTCTATGTAAGAATTTCCATTGAATTCAGGGATAGTATAGAGTGGCAAGGTCGTTGGTGATATAAGTACTGAAAAAAAAATTATATATATATACATTTATATATTCCAAATGACGCAACTTTTAATGAGGAGCATATGAAATTAGTCAATTTTAGCACCCAAGTTTTATATATCAACAGAAAATCTAAAAATATTGTCACACTGACAAAAAGTTGCATACTCTGAAATGTGCACAAGGGCAAGTTTTAAAGTGCTGATAGAGACTCACAAGATTATTCAAATTAGATTAGTTTAAAAACACAAGCACTTACATGCTCCCAGCTAGGAAACCAGATCATTTCAAAATTATGTCACAAAGAACTATTTTTAATCATATGACCTACAATTTTCACAATACTGGCCACTCCTCCCACTGGGACAGTTGCATTTGACCTCATTATCTGACACCACCTGACAAGTGGAGCCACCTTCACAGGGGTTTGAAGAGCACGGGTCCCTTCCCTCTGCACACTGTGGCCCTGGTGAAAACATAACAAATAATAACAATAATAAGTTAAACATGTTGAATTTGGAATCACAACCAATATACTAGTAAACATTTACTGAAAGGTGATTTAATAATGTGATTTTTGTAAGTATACATTAAATTGGTAGCACATAGAATAGAAGGAAGCAGTCAAATGAAATTTATTTGACAGACTTGCTGTGTGTGCTCAAGCTTGATTGCAATCAACCATTTGAAGTGGTATCCTTGTATTATATAAACAGACACTACAATGATGTTTCAGAAGTTGCAGATGTACTGGTAAGGCTACAGTGGAGATTTCTTTATATTATCAATTACAGCAATATAATTACTGACAATATCAAAATTTACCCATATACACAGAATAATCTATTTTTCAATCCAAAATGAACATAAAAAAACTAAATAACACAGAAAAGCAGTAGGCCAAATGGCATAAAACAATATAAAAATTTCCATTTTTTCTAACCAAAGTTAAATTTTTTTCATTAAAAAATAAATCGATTAAATATCTCACCTTTAAACCCTGGTCGGCAAACACACAGGAAGTTTTCTTCATCGCGGAAGTAACAAGAGCCACCATTTTGGCATGGAAGACTTCTGCAAGGATTGTCCCTGCATTCACCTTCAATATAAAATCAGCATATTTTTACTGATTTCATAATTCAGAAATAGATATCCTTAGTTTATTTCACCACAATCAACATCACTCAAGTACACATTTTACATATTTTTAAAAATTAATACTACTCTCTGGTTCCTAATTGCCATCTGGTTTGGAATAGTAGTACAGGGTAGAAAAATGCTCAAAATCTAATAATAGTATGGTCCCGTAAAAACATACAGGGTGGAAATTTGACCAATAAAGAACCGGAAATCTATCACGTGATGTGAGTGTGACTGGATGTGCTTTTGTATATGCCTTGAAATGCACTGCTGTCACAATCTAGAGTAAACACAGGGCGCCGCCATGATGGATTTCGCTTGGGTGTTAAAATGGGTCAATATATGTATGTGATACACGAACAGGTCTGGGGAAACTGGTATTTTTAATAAGCATACAGTCTCGAATATGGCTGTACAGTGTGGAATATTGTGACAAATAAATACCCGTACATGTATAGCAATTAGGAACTAGAGAGTATACAGCTAATAACCACCATGGGATGACTTTCGGGAATGCAAAATTCCCCGAAAGCCAACTTACCAATTCCATGGTGAGACACAATATCGCCCGATTGTGGTAAGTCCAGCGTGTACGCTCGGGTAGTGATTGAATTGCCATCTGATTTAGATACTGTTAAAGCAAACACACAGCCAACCAGGCCATGGCCTGTGCCAATCTCTGTCACCATACTGGAAAGTTATGAGCATAGCATTAGCATTAATAAATTAACATATCATTAGCATGTCATTAACATCTCTTTAATTTAGCTTTCAATTTAATTTCGAACATGCTTATTTTTAGTTTCATTATTATTATTATTATTATTTTTATTATTATCTGTTAAAATGATTCCCACTTAAGGTCAAGACTTTTAAAAAATCGGGCAAAGTTCAAAATTGAATTAATCTTACTCATTGGTCATGTCTGGAATCCCACCAGCATAGAGTGGCTGGTCAAGGTTCAGTGACCGCAGATTCCCCTGTGAACTGCCCAGGACCTCCTCTCCATTGTCCACTTGTAGCGCCCCCTGGCTACCAGATCTGTTGACCATCACATGATGTTGTTTGTTGAGTTGGATGGGCTTGGTACTTCTTATCAGAGCTGGGCCACTGCCAAGGTCATACCTAGAAAACAAAAAAGGAAATGAAAAAAGTTGCAATAATAATAATAATAATAATAATAATAATAATAATAATAATAGTAATAATAAATTACAGTGTCCTCTTTGGAACATATACCAAGATAATGGATGCAACTAAAAAGGACTGCATATATTTTAAATTAGGTATGAAATATTAATATAATGCTCAATTTAATATTAATCATAAACAATTCTCAGCCCATGGTTTTTATACAGTTATAAATCAATTTTATCCTTCACAATTCCTCACCTATACTCTACATAACCATTGACAATAGCCAGTGAGATGAAGTCCCCTCGCCCCTCCACAAACTGGCTATTGTACAGCAAGATGCCATCCTTATTGTGGGTCTTAAAGGTTATCTCTATCCTGTTAAACTTATCCACACCAGTCAGCATTCTAAACTGAAGCCAAGACTGACCGCTGAATGAAGGGGTGCCGATGCCTGATGGATTGGCTGAAAATAAGGGCAAAATAATTTGGTGTTGGTGTGACAGATAAATGTAACGTATTCGACAATACCATCTGAAGACTGCCGCAATTTGTTTAACCTATGCTTCCACAACTTAAAAGTTTATTTAAGTATGTCAAAATACAAGATGCTTAAAGTGTAATGGATGTGATTGTATGTTAGATGTGACAATGTGTTAGGTGTGACAACAGTTTTGTCAGAAATTGTGTTTCTTTGATCAAAGAAAAATAAACCTCAAAATAAAATTTTTAATTGAAAAAAAAAATCAAACAATTGAAGCATTGGAATTGTGAATGATTCCCGTACCTATGCACAGACTGTTGAATTCAGAAGGAACGAAATCTTGGTCACATACGCAGAAGCTGCGTTCGCAGTGACTGTGGGCAACAGAACACTCTTCATCAGTCTGGCACACGTCCCCTATCCTACCTGTAATATAGATTTTCTCTTGAATTAATTGAACATAATCTATATTTGGGCCATTCCACAAAAAAGTTACTCTGAGTCATGCTAGTGATGTACATATTTGGTGTGACATTTGCATGTTTCACATCACTTTTAAAATACTGTTTTAACATTGGAGGGCACTATAGTTTAAATTGGCACAAATAATGAGTTAATCAAAAATCATATATAAACTGTGAACATCACTGACATGACTCAAAAATTTTGTTCCTTTTTTGACATGAAATAAATCAATTTTTCATCATTCATATTTGTCCTTTTTTTGGCCAAGAAATAAAGTTAAAAGCATCCCAAATAAAAAGCTTGAGTTTTAAAGATTACTCGGAATCAAATGTAACTTCTATTATCAGCAAGCGTCAACAATGTTGACATTACTTTCCAGTAACTTCTAAATTTTAGTTTGTCAATGCAAAGACGTATACATCAACTGCTTTATCAAATCCAAGTTCAGCATAATATATCTTTACCAGTCACTGTCCCCATATCCATTATGTAGCTGTAGAATATTCATTCAAATCTCCAATTTGTATATTCTCATTAGACGATTTCTAGGGCATTTAAAATATTTGACAACTTGCAAGCAAATGAAAAGCTGGACTATATGATGCTGAGTTTGTAAAAACCATCTGTAATCCATTGATAGTCTTCAGTCCTTCAATCAATATGATTTCTGTATATTTTCTGTAGTGGATTAATTAGGATAAAAAAACAATTCATTCAAATTTAAATGTCTATAAAACTATTTAAAATATCAATTAAAGACTTATTATTTGTATTATTCAAAAAATGAACTGCGTAGCTAGTGTACATCATTCTATTCTTTTATTTAAATTATGATACTAATATGTTAGTAACTTAAAATATATTATATCACCTGTAACTATCAAAACGATACCGTAGGAAACAACCCCGGCCTTTAACAAACTTAATTTAACATAGTTTTTATAATAATTAGATTGTTATCAAAAATTAGAAAAGCATATACATATATATATATATATATATTCTATATACGGATATTTAGCTATTGTAATTATCATATCTGTGTAACTTCCCCATTATCTTTCTAAAGTAATCTTTCTAATATTTCTACCACTACAGAACATAATATAGTAGGTATACTGTATGTGATAGATACAATACGAGTAGCCGAGCTGTACGTGAAATATTACGAGTGTATTGGCCAGCCAAAGGCGAGACAATACAAGAGTAATTTTCACGTACAGCTTGGCGACGAGTGTTGTATCTGGCTTAAACCACGGCCTCTGATTGGCTACTACACTAGTGAGTAACGGGAGTGCAACAGACCGTGGAAAGCACTCACACATGACGTGCTTGTATGTTGAATACAGCACGGCCGAGTCTTTTGTTCTACGCACTAGCCGTGGTTTAAATATTGGTGTTAGCATCTTGAAAAGTTAGAATATTACAGTAGTTATATTGTTATTTTGACTACTTATTATTCTGTGTTCATATATATATTGGAGTACAGTTACAACCCTTAATAATATTATGTACTATCATGTAGATATATATAAATGTTAGACATTATTTATTTTAAGATCAGGTATGCAGCAAAGGATAATTTTTTAACAGGGATCACTCAAGCTGATTTGTTACTTCTTGTAAGCCTGTTAGATTTTTACAATTATACAAATCTAACAGCAAATTTGGGCACTGATAGCCTTTCATTACACTTTGTGCAGTGACAGTAATATATATTAGATATCAAAGATATATCATTTCAATTAAAAAATTAAGACAATCAACAACTGTAGAACAGACATAAATTTAAGTGATCAACCACTCCCTTAATTCATACTATAATATTTAGTAAATAAAAAACATGTGAACTTAAAAGTAACAGTTAATGTGAATTTTTTACCCACAAAATTAAGACATTTCAAAACAGTTTCTAATAATTAAAAAAAAAAATGGTTTCATTTATCATGGTCATTTCACCTGCACCCAAACATAACAAAGTCATGCAATGTTACTGTATCTTTGTTTGCGTGCATGCACATGTGTGTTTGCATGTACATTCAAGTATGTGTGCATGCATGTTACGATATATGCACAAGCATATAAAACATAATAAGCATCACCATGCAATGTTATTTATATAAGCATATTCATGCAGTCAGCGATTAAATGGCCGTTGGTTGTGGGGAAAAAAATTTGGGGAAGGGTTCTGTGACAAAAACATGAACTTTAGTTTAATATTTCAAAAATCAAGCAAGTAGATAAATTCTGTGGCATGTTCCACGTTTCCTCTCACCCATCAAAAAAAAAAAAAAAAAAAAAAAGTAAATAAATAAAAAAGACCAGAAAATGTCATCTTTTTGGCACAGAAAGTTTACTTTACAGCAAGATGTATATGTGAGCATGTGTGCAAAGCGCGTGTACCCGTATGGAAATGCATGCATGTCTTCTGAGGGAGGGGGGTGGGGGTGGGTAAAGGTGGGAGAGGGGTCGAAGATTTCTTACATCACCAACAGATTTGTTTACAACAAACAAAAGTACATACCGTAAAAAGGTTGATCTGACAATGAACCGCCTACAATGCAATTACATCATGTTCTTTTGATAACTTGAAAATCAGACATATATATCTAGCAATCAGTGAGAGAAAGCTGAGATGTACTCTAAAATCATGAAATTAAAGTATGTTCAGACATATTTGGCAAAAAACAGAGAAATATGGCAAGTTTTCATACACTTTAATAACCTTAGTTATTTCTATATTATTATTTTTTTGTTTTTATCTAAAAAGTTATAGCCAATAATGGTGTATTAATACGCATATAATAAATTCATCGATAAATTTGAATCATAAATTATTTCCCCTCTTTTCCCTCAAGTATGAAAATGTAGTTTTTTAAAGTAAGGAATGTTAACCTCATTATATGTGCCAAAATGTCTGAAGCAAAAACATCTCATGATTAAGAGCAAACATTTAAAAAATGATTTTTCTAAAGCATACATCCAAATCAAAACACATAAATCAATCAGTGTGTCAATCTTGCAGTAAATCATGGCAATGCAATGTTAATGTGACAATTAATGAAAAAAGTGACATAGATTAATGGCAACAAGAAATGCCAAATAGGAAATTGAAATCTTCTTAGCAAGTGTAAAAAAAAAGCTGACGTGTAACTATATTGACAACAGAAAAAATCTAACTTGAATTTTTAGATAGGTGGATCATAAGAGGTAAAAACTAGCAGGTGATCAAATTTGCCAGACAGTCTTAGCTTGGACAATAACCTCTTACATACTGTGAATGTTATATGTAAAGGCTATCTCCAGTCTAAAACTCTCTGTTAAGACTAAAATGTGATTTAAAAAAATGCAACAACTTTAGAAGCTTCTGACCAAGAGCTTTATTTTTAAAACGAAAAATAATTAATCAATATTAAATGACTCAGTCTGGGTTAAACTTACCAAATTTCTGGTCTTCTTCTTCTTCTTCTTCTTCAGGTGGTTTTTGTGTTGGTTCAGGCGGACTAGAATCAGCAAGATGGCGTGTGGTTTTTCTTGAAGAGCCATTTGGTGGGGGACCAGTTGTGCTGCTCTCTAGTGGTGAAATACCTATTTATAAACATATAGATATAATGTTATGATTTTTGCATGATGTATCTATGACATTACATCCTTCAATTTAGTAAAGAAAAGCTTCTAAGACAGCCACTAGAACCCATTTTGATTACATCTTTATCCCACTAGTTTAAAAGATACCTGCTTACTTCTCTTCTGTTTGTTCAAGGGACATCTTATTTTGTATGTAAAGATTAGAAGTACACTAAAAAATAGTGCATGGAGTAATTACACATCTTGGCTTTCTTGATCCTAAATGCGCACTGAAAATGTACACATGTAGCACACTGCTTACTTCTGCCCCAATTAGAGTAAAATGCAGGGGTGGTTTGAAGCCATCTTCTGGAAGATGGTCAGAATTTTTCAAGGTTACACTGCTGGGCATCTAATTTTTCTGTTGGAAGACAGTCAAAAATTGAGGATGGATCAAAAAAGACTTTGGGAAGACTGTCAGAAAATATCTCTGGATCCACCCCTGCATTGGACTGCTCACCAATTAAGCTGGAGAAATCTTTCATCATTTATGAAAAACTTAAATTTCCAACTTCAAAGGCCTACCTGCACAACCTCCTTTCTTCACAATTCTAATTTCTTTCTGCTCTCGACATTGGAACTCTCTCAGCGTACACTCATCAGGGTATTGTCTGCCATCAGAGCCACAAACTTTACCAGGTGTTGCGCCCGTACAGTCCATTTTACACCTACATTCTGCTTGTCCATCAACAACTTCACAGGTGGCACTAAAGTTGCAAGACAAGCTCTCACAGCTAGCTGAGAAGAAAAGAATGACATAATTCATACAGACTGAGTGAATGTAAAAATATGACTGTACCTTTGTTTTTTATTTGGGGGGGGGGGGTCTAAATTATATGCACTTTATCAAAATGTATAATTGTTTTTTACGAGTGGGTTCTGAAAGCTCAAGTCAAAAAGTCATTAAATGAACAATTTGGGAAGTTTTTAAGGAGCTTCTTCTCAGGGATGCATGGGGAATATCTTTATAAAAATAAAATCAGATTAACATGCCTTTTCTTGTTTCTAACGTACTCATATAATCACCAGCTTTTTTGCATTCTATTCAATGCCAAGAGTAGGTGTATTAATCTGTAAATCTGATATTGTGATCCCAGTTCGTCCCCCCTGGAGTTTGTTTCAACTACTTAGTATGATCGTTTCACTGTGAATGGACCCTTAGAGCATGCTTACTTGGACCAGGTGTGTCACATCCATTGGGTCCTGGAGGTTTGCCTGAAAGACACCTGTCGCACTTGTCACCCGTCACCCCGCCAGGAATTTGCTTACATAAACAGCGTCCCTTTGTCTGCTCACAGTCATCCCGCTCCGTCCCATACCGATTACAGTTGCATGCTAGGAAAAAAGATTTTCTTTATACTGTTTTTATGACATACCCTTATACATGTAGGTTTCTGTTATTGTTGCATGTTGAGAAATGCACATGGCAATGTTTTGTTAATGGCAAGCTACAGTACAAATCCAAAGCAAAATTAATTTCCTCTCCATAAAAATTCAGCTCTAAAATAGTTTTAATTTTTTTTTTCAAAATTTGAACAGAAAAATCTAGTTGACTAAATCTTAACACCTTTGCTATCCAAACTTTGTGACATTACTCCAACGAAATTTGGTCTAAATCAAATGAATATAATTGTGAAATTTGATTAGCTACTCTAAA